CTCAAATTCCTGTCAGCCCACTAGAAAACTGGGGCAACGATATAAATCTGTTTGAAAAACGAGGCAATTGTGGCCAGGAAGGCTAAATAGTGGTGTTGATTTCCAAATGTGGGCTGTTTGAGTGAAAGAAATTCACAACGCATTGGTCCAAGACTTTTGCATTGTGCAACAACAATTGTACCTCACAGGTCTGTCCCTACGTTTAATGACATCCAGGTAGAAAGTGTCGTGCCCGTATATGGTTAGGTCGTAGTTATGTGTGTTTATTTCCCTACAGGGATTTAACTATCATTAATAGTTGCATACGAAATAATGGGAGTGGCATAGGTTTGCGTATGCGACTCTTTATTTTTTAAGTACTTCGCTCATATCCGTCTTTTGCTGACTTGGAATGGACACGTCTGTAAGTAACCCCAAGAACCTGCATTACAAGTTTTTTACAAGAGTGAGGAAATGCTTTTAGTTAAAGTCCCTGTGTTTCATGTGCAGAGGTTCATAACATACGTAGGAGACCTGGGGTCTTAAAATTAAACCAAAACCACAGATGTGGCAATATTAACAGTGAGCTTTTGAGTTTTGATTCTGAGCATTGTGGTCTTATGAAAGTTTGTGTGTGTGTGTGTGTGTGTGCGCGTGATAGTATGCACCAGGATGGGGCATATTGACCCCTCTCTGACAAAAAACAACCTTCCTCCAGAGATGAATGCCATTACTCATATCAAACAGTATCCTAGCCTTCTGCATCCAACTAAACACACTCGTGAAAAATGGTCCTTATTCGAAAACATTTATGCAATGAACTGCATTATTCATGTGACTAATGTCACAAATAGTTGCAAATAGAGCCTTTGTGTGGTGCGTCTCATAGATGGGTGTATATATACCTACCTTTGATATATATAGTAGAGAATTCGGGGTCGTATGCCTTCAGCAGAATTTCTCTCACCTGTGCGATATATTAGTTCCAGCGTCAATTCTAAGTATATCTACAGAAGAGGATTAGTTCTCGCCGCCTCTCCTCTCTCTCGACCTGTCTGAGAAGGTAGTGCCTCGATCATCAAGGAAGTCCTGGCAGAAGTCGGGGACGCTGATCGGATCATCTTCGTTTCGTGCTTCCCAAACCTCTGTCCACTCTGGCCCACTTCCCTCCTGTAGGCTACTCGTAGACCCACCTCCCTGCAGAACATGGCATAGTATCATAGTACATCTGATGGTGTAAAATCTTTCTTCTATCTATCTCCATCTCATCGATTATAGCACGCTGCCACTTTTGATGTGTATGTTGAATAAATGCCTGCTTATTTTGTAACTACTGTTATATATAAACTATACCTGGCATTGCGTAGATAGCACTATGCTGTAAATGCCTGGCTGCTGCTATTATCATACTTGGCATATCATTGCCATTATCCGTAATACTCAATTCTGTATAATGCCACTGTATATATACAATCACCTGGTGTATGCTGCTATACACCAGGCATAATGTGTACCTGGCATGAGTCATTCCCATCCGAGGGAAGGAGATGTCGTAATAGTTTCCCTCGTTCCAGTCGGGATCTCCCATCAATATCTGCCGCTGGACATAGCGCATGGCAATGGACGATGGGTGGGTCCTCAGACATGCAGATATCGATATAACCCTAGAGACAATTCCCACAGAGGAAGTGTGTTTCAATTGATCTCCATATTAAAAAATACGTGGCAAATTAGCCACGTTGTGGACGAGGGCAATAGTGCTACCAAGTGCAGCATCCAGAACAATTTGTGAACCTCATGCTCCAAAAGATTAATGGCCATTTAAAATGTAGCTCTGTGGAAAAGATGATGGTTGACCTACCGATTGACTCTGTCAGGGCAGAGTGCGGCAGCCATGATGCTCTGCATGCCCCCCAGAGACGACCCGACAGCAGCGTGGAGACGAGAGATCCCAAGATGGTCCAGGAGCAGGAACTGCGCAGCCACCATGTCCTCTACCGTCACCACAGGGAAACTCATTGCATAGCATTTACCTGTGCGTGTAAGAACATACTGGTCTATACAGTGAAATCTCGACCCTTCGAATTATGTTCTATCCCACACTAGTCCATTAATCATGACCTTATAATATCACCAAGCTGTCACTTATTATGAGGTTTCACTCTAGAGTGATTGATGGGCTTGTGCCAGAGTTACCAGTGGTGGGGTTGATGGAAGAAGGCCCACTTGATCCGTAGCATCCTCCTATCACGTTGGGACACACCACATAGTAATTGTTGGTGTCTAGAGCTTTGCCGGGACCAATGAAGTCTTCCCACCACCCCTTGCTTGGGTTAGTCTGCAATACATGAGGATTCATAAACTTGCAAGCTTCACTAATTTGCATTCCAAGCCGAAATCAAGCTTCATCTGAGAATGTGCTTCATACATACCTCGGTGCTGCAAGCGTGCGAAGACGCCGAGAGGCCGGTGCACAGCAAGATGGCGTTGCTGCGTTGAGTGTCGAGCTCCCCCCACGTTTCATACGCCAGGTCCAACCGTGGAATGCACCCACCTGCAGAGGCAAAGAGCGTTTCCGAAACCACTAAATCACCTGGAATTTTGCTTGCTAGCTAGCTAGCAAACCGTGCTTGAAGTGGAACTTGTCCTCGTGTGAAAATACTTCGTAACCCTCCACCACTTCCCCGTAGTTGCCCGTATCTTCTCTAACGGACCGCTCTTCTCCCTAATCCTGCACCACACGTGTTTGTGTTTACACAACACACACGTGCGAATGTCCACGCACCGCGACAGACACGGAAAGCCCTCCTGTCCCCGACCGCGGAAGTTCCCGGCAGGCTCCTGCTGCAGAGTCGTCAAAAGCCGTGCACTAGGGCTACGGGCGCCGAGTCCCCCGCCGCCAGTGGACACGGAGCGTCGCGACGCTCTCGATAGAGACAGGGCCTCTATGAGCGCCCGTCTGCCTGTGATGATCATTATCGGCTGTCTCAGAGAAAGAGCATCGTGTATACGGCACCAGATGACTTGGACAGCATCTGGCCTATTATAGCAATATTCCGCGCATGCTCAAAAGTGGCGCTCCGCCCACTCTGCAACGAGATGTTCACCAGCAAGGCAAAGTTGGAGCAGAAGACGGGGAAATGGGGAATGGGGAGATTCAAGTACCTCCAGTCCCTGGTGACCGAGTTTCAAGACACCAGCAGACACGAATACAAACTCCAAGTCCTGGCCAACCTCGCAAACTTCGCCTACGATCCAGTCAACTACGACTTCTTTAGACAACTCAACATCCTCGATCTTTTCCTCGGTACGTCTAAGCTCGGAGATGTAATCCTGTTAGCTGTGTTTCTCTCTTGACTATGGTAGATGTAATAGCGGAGGATAAGGACGAGCAGATGGTTGAATTTGCAATGGGAGGGATCTGCAACTGTTGTCTGGACCGACAGAACATGGCCTACCTACTGGAGAATGACTGCATTCAATTTACTGTCAAGTGCCTGTCGAGGTGTGCCTCAGTAGCCACAGTTCCCTCTCTAACCACATTGTACTGTGCACCTCTTGTCTCGATTGTGATTGCTGCTACAGAGAGGGCCCTATTTTAGATATGATTATGTATTGTGCAGTTCAAATGAGGAGACTGTTCTTTCAGCCATAACTACACTCATCTACATTTCCACCCCCGACTCTAAGAAAGGTAGGCAAAGTTCTCAAGTCGTCGGTTAAATATTTACAAGCAATGGTTTTGTTACCAGCTATCACGGCTGACAGTATAGTAGACCTGATGAAAAGGTTCTCAGTGTCATCCAGTAAGAGACTAAGTAACCTGGCCACTGTGTTCCTTGAGGTTTGCTGCTTTTAAAAAATCATAATGAGAAGCTAAAATCGTTACTATAACTTTTTGTCAGGATGTGTGTTGTTTGATGGTGGAGCCTCCTCCAAAGAAGATGAGGGTTGAAACTAGTGATGATGAGGTGGACACTGAGAAAGGAAAGGAGGAGGAAGGGAAGGCAAAGGTGGTGGAAGAAGAGGGGAATGTAGAAGGAGAGAAGGAGGGAGAGAAGGAAAGTGAAAAGAAGGAAGTGGAAGGAGACGGATCAAAACATGCAGCTGAAGAGTCTGGAGAGAAAAGAGAACAAAAGAAGGAGTAAATTAGCAGCAAAGTGGTGATGGCCTGGCGCCTCTCCTGTTTGGAGATTTCCCTGAGGACTGTGTTGGACTAAAACTGACGGACAACTCTATTGCGCGTGCTCAGAATATTGGACAACTCTATTGCGCATGCTCAGAATAAAACGCGCGCAGGCCCAGGCGGCGGCGGCGTACGTGTGTACGTGCGTGCGCGCGTGCGTGTGCGTTTGATCGGCGGAGCTCGAGGAAAGCTGAGAACGCTGGCGCTTTTTATGTGAGGTATGGAACCGTCTCAGTCTCCTCAAAAGCCACCGCAAGAACCAGTAGAAATAGAAGGGGAGAAACGTGCATCAGTCGGGAAACCAGCTGGTTGTCATACTACGGGGTCGTTGAGAACGGATGCTGAAGTCGAGCAGCTACAAAGGCGGCACCTGAGCGAGCAGCAACAGCTACAACTGGAGCAACTGGACCAGCTCAAAGCCTTCAAAGAGCAGCTACTGCGTGACCTCTTTACACAACTGTCTCCTCAACAAAGACCACGACCTCCTCCGATACAGTCTTTCCCGCCCAGCCTCTCCCTGCCCAATAGACCCCAGTTACATCTCTCTGCCACTCACCTCTGTGGAGACTTTCCTCCCTCGGTTCCAGGCAACCCCAGTTCTACACCAGGTGGCCGTGGTGACATTACACCACTCCCTCCAGTTTCGACACTCAATCGTACTCCAGCACCATCTCCAGTCTCACGTCACACACCAGACAAGACCCCTACCAGACAGTTTCCTTCGGTCCATTCTCTACTGCCCACCTCACCACACAAGTTTTCTCCCAGCTGTGAGGCGGCAAAGACTTCACCCCCACACTCCCTCCCCAACTCCCCCACCCCGCCCTCTTGGTCCCTGGAAAACTCTCTTGAAACGCCTGTCCCACGCTGCAGTGAACGGAATCCAACACAACAACTTCGTTTCTCTCCATTCTCGCCACAAGGACCAGTACGGGATGAACACCAACCGAACTCCTCCCAAGAAACTCGCTCCTTCAATCAAACCCAATTCCCAGTTTGTCCTGTACCTCGCCGGGCATGGGTGAACGGAGGTGTTGCTACACCACCCAATCACACTAGAGCAGAGCTCTTTCAGAAACACGCTAGGCAATTTGAAGACCTCAAGTCCTATTATAATTCGCAGATGGTCCAGCTTCAATCAGCCAACGACCAGCACGAAAACAACGCTACGCCAATGCAACCACTGATCATGATTCCCTCTTCAGAAGATCCAGTGTATGTGGATGCTGCTGTTGGGAGGAGGAGCCTAGAAGTTCACTCACACCCCAGTCCTCCCTCTCCTGTACCACCAGGAGTTGCCTCACCACAGACCCAGCTCCAGAAGGGAGCCTTCGCCAGACTGGCAGCCGACAATGAACAACTGATGGCCAAGTGTGCGGATATGGAGTCGACATTACACCAGTGCAACATGTACGTACCTTATAGCTCCAAGCTTTTTGTGTAAAACAAACGTGATTTTTCTCCTACAGGGTAAACAGAGCCCTCGAGAAACAGTTGGATAAGCAGAAAGAGTACTGGGTATGACATCATCTACAATTTCCCAAGCGTAGAGTGGTTTGTTCTGCAGTTGGAGTGGCAGGCCCAGGACGAGATGTACACCCACACCATCAGTGTCCTACAGGACAAGCTGGGTGCCTGCAGGACGCAGTTGAAGCAGCAGGACGGCATGGTGGAGCAACTCCAGGCGGACCTTCAGGTGTCTGTCGGAGAGATTCAGTTCTGGAAGGAACAGCAGGTGCAAGAGGCTGGGAAATTGAAGAAGGTAAGAAAACCATGCAGTTCAGATGACTTTTAGGCTTGTTTCACTCGCTAAGTGTTGGCATTTCTCAAAGTATATAGGACTTAGGTGTCTGTACACTTCTAGTAGTTTGTGCAGCAAGTCATATCATGCTGTACTGCGTCACTTGTGGACCCAACTTTGGTCAACCCCTGTCTGTGTGTGTGTGTGTGCATGCAGCTGTGTGTGGAGTTTGAAGAGCTGCAGACAAAGAACGAGAGACTGGAATCGTCGCAGGCTTCTCTCAGGGAGGAGCTGATGTCCGCTCGCAGGGAACTCGGGAGGACGGAGGCTGCCGCTAAAGCCAGCGCCGCCGAGGAAAAAGAACTGAAGAGGTCTATATCTAATGTCATCAGAGCTGTAGATTTGATTGCTCTGTGTGTGCTAGTTCTAGTGCGATTAAGGCAACTAAGATGGGTGCACTTAGCCCTCAAATAACCTAGGGGAAATACACGTCTTTGATTAAAGTGTGTGTGTGTGTGTGTGTGCGTGTGTTTTAGTACAATTCAGAAGCTGGAGGACAAGATTCGTCACTTGGAACACGTCAACAATCGCCTGCACGGCCAGGCAACCCACTACTCTCTGGGGTCAGTTTATCACTCATTGTAGCCACGTATCTTTACTCTTGGCTTGGTCGTATGAATTGTAGCCCATCTCACTCCCGCAGGTCTTCATGTCCGAACACCCCGGATGACGACAAGTTGTGGCGGCGTCCTCGCTCTGCAGTGAACACTCCATCGTCGTCACACCCTCCCCAAACTCCCACCTCTCCCCTCTCCACCCCTCCACTACCTCTGAGACATCCCCACACCTCCGCATCTCCCCACACTCCCCCCTCGTCCACCCACCACCAAGCCCCACACCCCTCCGATTCCTCAAAATCGTCTCCACTAAACAGACGAAAGTGGCTCCAACCCAGCGACCCAGGTCTGATACTGGGCACCCCATCTCCCTCCCTCCCTCACTCCCCTCCTCCCCATTCTCACCACCATGGAAGCCACACCCACTACCAGTCTGATATTACGTCATCGCCTCTGCTCCAGTCCACCGGACAGTCAATTTCACGGCAGTTGTCTGACAGTGGCAGCAGTAACGAAGGGGAGGACCCTGCTTCGTTAACCAAACAGGGCTACATCAACAGCAGCAGTAAGAACGGTGGACAATCGTCCAGGGAGAGAGGCGGTGAATATTCTCTGGTGGCATCCACTCTATCAGCAATTCAGAGAGGGAAGATCAGGACAGACGCGTCAACCGGCAAGTCCTGAATCTCATAGGTTTGTCGTTTATGGACACTATTGCTTGTAGGTGGGAAGTCAAGAAAAGATGATGAAAAAGAGGTGCGTTTCAAGTATAAAAGTCGGGATTTTTCACACAATCTTCAGGCAATAAAGTGTGCACCATTGTGCAGCAGAAGCAGAAAGAAGTGTGTATATAATATAGTAAATTATTCTGTGTGTTATGGACCTGTAGAGTGTGGAGGAGAGAGTTAGGCGCAGTCTTCGCGTGGTGGCCACGGCAGAAGAGAAACTGGAGCAGTTACGCAGAGAGAAAGAAAGCGTAAGATTTGCTGCAGAGTCGTCTCTGTCCTTTTTTTGATGCCTGTGTGTGTGTAGTTGGAGTCACAGTTGCAGAGGACTCCGAGACATGGAAGTCGTGTCACTAGACACAGCAAACAGGCCCAGGTGAGCAGGTACCCCATGTTTTGTCATCCCCCCCCCACACACACCCTCAATCCCTTCATCAATTCATGTGTACCCCATGGTCAGTTTTGTCCTTCCCACCACACACTCACTCCTTGCCCAAAACCCTCCATCAGCATTAGTTGATCAATTCATGTGTCTCCCATGCCTTGTCACATGTGTGTGTGTTGATCCAGCTGGAAATGGAGGAGAGGCTGGAGGTGGTGCTGAAAGAGATTGGCTCCGTGAAGATGACCCTTCGCAGCCACCACGCCTTCCACAAATGACTCACTATAATTATATTCCACTCACTTTATTATTATTATTATCGTGTGCAACAAAGTTTCGGTATATATAACGAATGGACAGAAGAGTTAGAGTATTTTGAATGTTTTAGATGGCTAGAGGGTTGGCGTGTATTGTGATTCTCCTGAGGCGGATCTCGGTCAGAGGTCTGAAGTTTTTCTCGTGTACCGGCACCTTCTCCAAGTCGTCCAGCGTCTCCCATCCATCTATTACCCTGTGTTGGCGTACATACAAAACAACTGCAGACCCACTGCATTGAGGTTGTGGGTGACTCACTTGCCAAACATTGTGTATTTCATGTCCAGATGTGGCTGCTTGGAGTACGTGATGAAAAATTGGGAGCCGTTTGTGTCTGGTCCTTGGTTTGCCATCGAAACCACACCCCTCTTGTTATGCTACATGAAATACGGCACAGATAATGCCAGGTAGCTGTATACTGGAGAGAAGTGATGCAAACTTTAAGTGTCTCGTGAAACACGTCCTCAAAGTTTTCACCCCAGATGCTCGTTCCTCCTTTCCCCGTTCCTGTGGGGTCTCCAGTCTGCACCATAAAGTCCTTGATGTTCCTACAACACAACACGTAATCTTCGACTCTAAAAACTCTACTACACTATATGTACCTGTGAAAGAGGCAGTCATTGTAGTAGCCACTAGCACAGAGAGCCAAGAAATTCTGCAGAATAAACTAACTGCTAGCTAGTGTCCACTTGCAGCGGATTTATATGGCACGAACCTCGCACGCTTTGGGCATTAGCTCGCAATTGAGCTCGATCTTGATGTCTCCAATGTCGGTGTGCAGAGTAACAGACTGGAGAAGGCAGACAGAGTCGAGTTGAGCTACATAAGAAGGTTCACTTCTCTAGCTCTCTCACCATAACGCGTGTGCGGTCAAGCCCCGCCCACCTACTACGCGTGCGCACAATACGCGGTGTAATGGCGAAATTTTTTTTCTTCCTCCTTTTCTTCTTTACTGTAGCATCAGGAGTGGAAAAGCAGCCGAGAGATGGTGCAGGGACAAAATTCGATCTGCACGACTTCTTGAAGAAGGCCCACGCGCTGGGCATCATAAACGAGCACCAGGAAAACCAGCTCCGTGACTTATCTCTGGAAGATGGCCGAGCACCGCCTTTGGAGAGTTCGCGTGAGAGAGAAACTGAGAGCTACTCGCAGGCTTTCTCCGACGCGTTCCTGCGTACCTACGACGAGTTCTCGCTCCTCAACCTCCTCTACTTCTCGGGGTCTCTGCTGGTGATGGGGGCGTTCACTCTCTTCTCCACACTGGCCTGGACCAACTTCGGCTACGGAGGAGTGACGCTCATTCTCCTCGGCCCTCTCCTGTCGAGCGGCTTTCTTGGAGTCAAGCTATGGGATGAAGGCACCTACCCAATCCTGGGTGGCCTGTATGCCAACTATAATGCTATTCTGTCTTCTATTTTACCTCTAGCTACTGTTCTTGCAGGTTTTGTGCTGTTAGTACAAGTCTTGTTCCATTCACTGTCTACTGTCTCCAACGCTCGCTAAAATGGTGGCCAGGGGAGGACCCTGGACTGTTCCAGGGATTCCGTACACATGTGCGAGGAGGTTGGGTGGTAATGGAAATCGCCACGATCCTCACTGGATCTCTCTTTCTTGGGTGTGGAGTTAAATTCCCGTTCCTCCTGTTCCCCATTTCTTGGAGTCTGTGGTTCCTATCTATGGACCTTGCTCCCTTTCTCCCGGAGTGGTACCGTGGATGGAGAGGCATGTGGGAGGCACGCAGAATACTCTCCCTCTTCTTCGGTCTCTCCATGCTGATAATCGGGCAACTGCTCGAGGCAAGGCTGGGTTCCGACCCAGATTTCGGTTTCTGGCTCTATCTCTTTGGACTGCCTACATTTTGGTTTGCAGTAACGTTTGCTTTTCCTGACTACGACCTCCATGGCTCTCTATATCTACTAATAAACATTGCAATTTCCTTATCCGGTAGCCATCTCAAGCGCACCACTTTCCACGTCTTTGCAACTATGGGTGTCCTCCTGTACACTATTGGCGTGTTCTCAAACTACATTAAACCAGAGAAATCGTTTTTTCTGTGGGTCCTGAAGGCACTATCGGTGGTCGGACTATTCTCCCAGGCTCTGAAAACAGGTGGCAGTATTGAGATTGTGATAGGCCTCGCGTGTCTTGTGGCATTCACCTACTCTTTTCTTCCATTTCTTGATTCAGGCCCTCTACACCAGACCTTCTTTCTCTTTACCTCCCTGGGGTTTGTAGGCTGTGCAGCAGCCTTCCAGAGACCTCTTAATCTGTGGTTGTTTGATTTTCCCGATGCCTCGTTGCTGGTTGGACTGGGTTCCTCCCTGTGCGTTCTCCTCTACCATGCTCGATTGATTAAGTACCACTTTGGTTCACCGACTGAGAATCTGACGGTGTTTTTGCTGCACATCTATCGAGTGGGGGTGTCGCTGTGTGTATCGGTAGTGTTCGTTTTCCTTCGCCAGCCGGCGTACGCCTGGGTCGGCGGTCTTGGTATACCCCTAATAGCGACTAACTTTTCGTCTCTCCCGCGCATAATATGGTCAGTGCGCCGCGGTGAGATGACAGAGTATTTTCATTTGAGGGTTTTGTCTCTGGTTCTTCTAGTAGTGGGCGTAGTTCTTTCGCTCTATGTGGAATCTAACGTACTTTATGTTGTGACTTGCACAGTGTTGCTGGTTTTCATCCTCGTGCAACTTCAAAATTGGAAAATTATTGGCTGCGTCTTCTCTGTCGCTCTTGTATTACTGTCAGTGCCCCTGCAATCAAGGTTCATAATGACAATCGGTGTCATCTACATCTTCATCTATCTAACCCACCTTGCGTACGACACGTTCAAGAACTCTATGCTATTCTCACTGACTCTAATAGGTCTGGGGCTCTCTATCATCTACCTAGGCTACCTGTACCAATCAAACGAAGCTCTAGTTCAGGAGCACTTTGATCATTTCACCCCAGATTTTGTTAAAATTCTTTTGACTCGACCTCTCTCGCGTGAATGGACCCACCGCAGTCGGTTTGACTGGTACTACCACTTTAAGAAGACAGATTTCTTGTATGAGAGTTTCGTGAGTCGTCCGTATTGCTGGATCCTATGGCCGGCCCCTCTAATGCATGCACTGTCAAAGGGAAAGGTGCCATTTGTTAGTACAGTGGTGTCCTTTGGGATCATACTTCTGCTCCTGGCAATGGCCATTTCGAGTCTTCGACGCAGCTTTGTGGTCGACTTGGACAGCGAGGTAAAGGTGAGCCCTTATGCCAAAGCACATACTTGAGTTAATTGCTGTAATAATTATAGGTCACATCGCTGAATATGGCACTGAGTCGGGAGCATGATAATCACGGTGTGATTGTAAAGATAAAGGGAACAAAGCCGCCCAGTTTGAAGAGCAGTCCTTACGTGGCCGTGGATGTCAGTGGACAGAGTTTCTGGGGAGTTGTCCTGGAGGCCTTTGGAGAATGGAGAGTGTCTTTTGCCAGGTGAACCAACAGAGAGAGTCAACTGGTCCTGTGGAACAGCATATATATACCTGAAATAGCCCACTAGTGTGAATTTGTAGCTAAAGCCTCTAGTTGTTGGTAGTTGAATGGGACAACAAGACAGGGACTGGTAAAGTTTTAACCGTCTACATTCTTTACAGAACACTTTCTCGTTTTTTTTTGCATACAGAGCAATGTTTCTTCCACTGAGACTGTCGCCTCACCTCGTATCATTTGTGGGGTTCACAGAGGATAGCAGTGAGTTCTCTGCCACCATTCTCCTGGGGACTGGCCACAGGGGTAGTGTAAGATTGAGTCACAGAACTGCACTGGACACACTAGCCAAACTGAAGAGACGAGACTCCAATGCTAGAATGACTTGCACTCTTCTCTATTCAAACTCTTGGTATGCCCCCTTTAGCAAGCTGGCAGAGAAGGAGATAAGCTTAAGGGATATTGTACTCGAATGAAAATCAGACCATGATAATATAAGAGCCTCGTCCAAAACTGAGTAGAGTAACAGGCGTGTGCTAATCGTACATATTCTAGTCTAGAATGTCTATGTCGTGTGTATATACATGTATTTATGTTGTGGCTTTTAGGCCTCTGAAAAATTGCACGTGATGCGGTATAGTCCGTGGAGCCAAAACTCTCTGTCAGTATCCATTCTGAGGATAGCTTCTGTTTTGACCCAAACACATGTTATGCTAAGAGTGCTAAGAGTGCACAATGGGAAAACTGCGTGTGGGCAATTACCGTTGTGACCATAGAGTGTTGGAGCTGGCCGCGCGAAACACCACCAACAAACACAATAGGAACGGAAATACCCGTAATGAACCAAGCTATGCAAATCCTATCAGCATTCCCATCCTCTGTGTCTCAACACATAGCTGCAACCCCTGTAATACACGGAATAATGATATTCTACGTACACACGGTGGTCACAGATATCTATTACTCATGGGGTGCACGTTTCAGGAAGGTTTGATGAGGGTGGGGGATCAATTTTCCCTGAGATTCACCAGCTGCTTTGGTGTGGCGTAGTCTGAGACTACTGTGTAGGTGGTGGACGCTCACCACAGACTGCTACTCTGTGTACGTGTGTGTAGCGAGAGAGACAAACACAAAGACCACAAAAGCTCTAATATACTCTGTGCACTAGGAGTAAGGGTTTGAGGTTTACTCTAAGGTTTTCAATTTCTTGGGATAAGCAAAGGGGGTGGGAAAAGAGGGGCCTGGGTCTCCGACTTCTCGTTTCTCTTACAAATGAGGGAGTTTCAGGCATCAAAGAGGGTCGGGTAATACGGCTGCCTTCGTGGTGCACCACTGATGTTGCTTCGCATAATGCCACGAGAAATACCCCCAACCTCAGCCTCAACCTCAACCACTCTCTTCCTAGCATTCTTACTGCACTCTCCACTGTGCCCACAAGCAGGATGGACAACCACGCTGTGCATCACCTCCGTACATCTATATAATATACACACACGAGCTAAATGCAAAGATTCTTTATGCTGTGGATAATATGTTGAGAACAGTAAGTTATACTGCTACTGAACATTGAGACTTTAATCCCAAAGGCGTCTCTGAATATGTCCACAAGAATATTTATCATATTATATAGCTCCTGCCAAGCAATTAAAAATGTGTTTGCACGCCACATAAATTACGTGCATTTAAGTCATTGTGGTGCGATATGTGAGAGCACACATAGGTATATATACCAACACATGCATGTTAGACTACAGGAGATAGATCATACGCTATCACAGTCCCTCCACAGCTGTCAACAGACACTGTTTTATAACAGACAACTGATGGACCTCGACACAGTGTTTGCATCAATATTTATGCGAAAATCTACACGGTGTTTTGTTACACTCAGGCTGTGGCGACCGCATCCTGCACTGTACAATGACGGAGCTATTATTATTATAGGTACAGAGACAGTGTATGAAAACATTGCACGATCTCTTCCTATGCAGGTGTCTATGGAAGACATGCCTAACGAGACAGTAATAGCCACATATCTGGTCCTTCATCTCCATGTACACACACCCTCACTCACCTGCCAGTAGAGAAATTACTCGGAATGTGCGATCCATTGATGAGGATGACTGGACAAGCGACCGCAGGGAGACCCTGTGGAGGTGCTGGATAGCCTGACTTCTCGGAAGAAGTTCGTTGGTGCAGGGAGTTAGCCAACACTAACAATTCGGTCGTCTTCACTGCTCTCCGCTGCATAGAACATGGGGCCTTCCGAAAAGACACACTACCCAGCACCCAGCACAGTCGGAACCCTCAGTCTGTAATGCACCGTCAGTCGCAGCATTCACCTCTGTGGAGAGAATTCTCAATAATACCATGCACTTGGACGCTAAGTTGTGGTCCCAATAGTGCTTTGATTGCTAGCCAGCTTCAGTGTACTGCCTTACACCGACGTATTATAGCTAGTTACTGAAATAGCTCCAAGAAGTCCAAGTAACTGTACATAGCATACGTACCTTGGGAGTTGCAGACATGCGAACTCCATGCTAACTTCGACGACGATGGGGATGATTAGGACGCGGGAGCCACGTTATCTGCGATACACACTCGCCGGCTAGCAATCCCGTCATTATGTATACGTAGCATCGCTGGAGAGATGGTCTGGCCCTTGAAATATTACCAACCAATGACGCTGTCCTCTTTGATGTGTGCGGCAGTCCTTCCTCTTGGAACTTCGGGAGACTGCGGGCGTCTGGAATTCACCGCGTTGCGGAAATGGACCGTAATAAGCACTCCGCGCACTCTGCGTTGCGTGTGGCACCGTCCCTTGAAGCCGATCGGTCATCAAGTCAGAGTATTAATGTCTCAGTTGTGTGTAAATAAAGGCCATGTTGTCGGTAACACTAGACTACTTGAGAGACATTTTCTCAGTACACCCTTCATTTGTGGCCACAGTCCCCCCACATTGGTGTGGGATAGTAGCTACTGGCGGCAGCTCGGGATCCAGGCTGGATTAATGCCAACACCACCCATTGAGATTGCCTACTTTGGCATTGTGCGGCTTCCCCCTCTGCAGTTTAGAACAGTGCCTCAAAGCGTATCACCATATGCATTTGGTGCGATGAAAGGTCTAAGGTTCGCACACTCGCAAGCACACACACACAAGGAGCAAGCAACATAACGTCAGTGACTCCGGGCCCACATACACATAATATTTGTGGCAGTAGAATAAGGTTATCGACATGACTGTGGTTACAAACGGGATTTTGATCTCAAACATTGCGTGCACACACTGCACACACACACACACACACGAAATGTCTCGGAATAAAGTCTCGTTGTGGCGGGGTCATTTCTGAGACCTGACATTGAGGGTGAGGTCCACAGGGCAACCCAGGAGGGCCTCGATATCTGTCTTTGCCTCAGCTGTGATAGCCTGCACAGTCCTACCCCCAGGTCCAATCACTATCGACTGAAACACAAACATGATAATATGTACACTTTCAGTAAGGGGAAAAAATTTCCACATTATTGATATGCACAAACCGCTAAGTCTAGTATTCTAAGGGCTCAGTTGAGATATTATGGAATTTCAATAGTGCACTGTAGCATCAAGGGTTCAATCACTACATAGTGGGTATCAGGGCATACTGCTTGGTTGCTGGAGCGACAGGTGAGATTCTGATAGATGATTTGCGTGTCTCCTTCCTTCTCCCACACCACATTCCCCTGTACACACACACAGGGGGGGGCGGGGGACGGTGAGAACAACAGATGTGCAGGTGTAATATTGACCAACAGTCTCCTTAGCTGCCAGTCTAAAGAAGTCATCCTAATCGTGTTTCTGTGCGTTTCCTGCGGGTCGGGCCCACTTCCTGCCAGTACAAAGAGGCCCTACTCCCCCAGTCGTAATTATCAGGGTATGCAGAGGGTACCACTTCAATGGGATCATGGGGGGCGGCTCACTCTAGGTCTGCATGCTCACCGCAAAACAAACACTTGGGCCAAGTGGCATCCGCTACCACATTCGGAGTGAGGTGCAACCCCCCTACAACGCTAGCTACACACCTTTCAGAAAGGCATTGATAGGTTCAGGGACCACCGTTTCACCCAAAAGGAAGTTCACCTGGCTTCTTTCCGTTTAAAAAATATTACAGGAGATTTCTTACTGGAGGTTAACACGGAGAATCCGAATCCTTGCCAACAATAAAGTGAAATATAATACCTTTGAAGATTCACTCTCAAACCTCCAGTTAAAGGAGATTTTCAACCATTCGTGTTTTTAATGATGGATTTCCACTTTAATTGCACAAAGGTATAACAGCCAGTATTGAAGAGTTAATATAGCTAGTACATGAGATATTTTTCTTTGACCCCCTCAGCATGCATAAATGAAGGTACACGAGGCAAGTGGATATATCAAAGACGCCCAGGACAGCACACTTAAAACCACGGTGGGACTCGAACCCACGGCAGACATGTTATTCTCCTCAGAGTTCAGACCTGTGTCAGAACGTAGGGGATCTCGCGATGGAGATGAAGGAAGAGTTTTTCCCTCACAATGTCCTCAACGAGTGCCATCTGAGTCTGGTCGCTGTGCTCCGTTGCAGAGTACTCCCAGCATCCAGGACGAGTGCAGGAGAGCAGGTAATCCTGAGAATGGTTACAGTGGCACCCCTCTAATCCAGACACCAATGGGACAGAAGAAAGTGTCCTTTTTAGCGAGGTGTCCTTATTTCAGGGGTTAAATTATATACAAGACCTGTTCTTTGGGGAAAAAGGTGTCCTTATTAGAGAGAGGTGTCCTCATTTCAGGGGTGTCCTTAGAGAGGGGTTCCACTGCAGATGATGATATAACCATTAAAACCATTTTTCACCGCTGGACTACATAGAGATAAAGAGAAGAGGAAAGCTGAGATTGCACTAGAATTGCATGAAGCACTTCGTTTGACAAAATTACACTCCACAGACAATGGACATTGACCACAAATTAAGAGTGGTACAGCAAGAGTTATAAACACTAATCTTATATGTATTTGTATTACGTTGTGTGTGTGTGTGTGTGTGTGTGTGTGCAGAGTAGAAGCGAAAGAGGAAATGTCGACCATTGGCACAAACCCAATCATTTCATTCCCGACAGATGACCACCCCAGTCCAGGACAAACAGCTAGCCATGGGGCAGGAAGAGCTTCAAGCCTGCCAAACAGCTCTCTACTATATATACTCAGCTCAGGAAGCCTGAATTGGAACTATGTACACTACCACCGGGACATTAGGATCTCTGAGAGAGCTGAGACAAAGGCAAGTGGTTTTGAGGCGTGTGGAGCACAGGCCGAGGAGTACCAATGCTTCCTTTCATGCACCTCACGAGCTGCCAAAACCTGCCACTTGCAGTGCCCAACAACAGCCAATCTACAAATACAAACAGTGCAGACTCCTCGCACTGGAGAGTATGAGTTGGCAGCAAATGCCCACACCACAAAAACGCTCTCACTCTCTATCTCATCGCCTCTTTGTGGCTGGCTGAGCCACTTAGTCCCAACCACCGTTCACTATAAACTTAATTTCTGGGGAAAACAGGCTATTAGTGCTCTTGCTCCACTGCATTACTCTGAGGTCTTGGACTCCATCCCCAGTCAATGCAGACGACATAAACACTTTTCCAAAAGACTCAACAGCAGCAGCCGGTAGAGCTCCTTGTTCGCGAGTAGGCCCACAGTAAACATCAGCCTTGGCTCCCGATTCGTTGCGCAATTCGGGAGACATTTTCATTCTCTGTTCTCTCCTTCTTCCTTCTTCCACCATCCATGAATGTGTCGACTCCAGTATACTCTCTGTGATTTCCAGCAAAACATGCTTATGTCTTATTGCATCAACCTGAAAATGCATGGACAATAATACTGTATATCTTCAACGTAGGCCAATGTAGGACACCTTATTCAGGAGAAGGATAGCAGGAACGTGACTGTATCTTGCAAGAGTTTTCAGCACCTCCACATCAAGTTGGTGCCTCTGTCGTTTGTCTGAGGCATCAACTACCACAACCACTATAATGTACCAGACACACACACACACACAGTAAAGCATCACAGAGGAAAAGTTACGAATGTCTCGCCTACCAAATTCAGCTTCCATCAGTGACCTATGGGGACCGGTTAGAAACGATTTAGGGGCCCTCAATTTTCGCCCCACCTGATATGGAACTACGCCTGGAGTGTCCATCAATATCTGAATGGAGAAATACATACCCATTAGCTTGACTAAGAATTAAGTTTTATACTCACTACTTGATGATCTCCCTCTGTAAACACACCTACAACATTCCGTGTGGTCGTATGCCTCTTTGGAGACACTGCAAACAGCTACAGACAACACAGCAAACACTGCCATGAGTAGATTTAGTCTCCCCACCAGACACTCTCTCACTGGAGGGCCTGACTTAACACTCAGCCAAATCTGTACACAGGCGTTGGATTCACTTCAAGTATCGGTTGTATAATTATAGCTACATATCAAGGGGTTGAAGCCGTGTGTGTGCTAAGGGTGTCTGGATGTCCATTATACACACTTTGCGTCCCAGCAGCTGGTTGACTAGCGTGGTTTTCCCCGCGTTTGGGACGCCCAGAACGGCTGCCCGGAGCAGCCTCTGACGGTCTGTTGTCTGGCGACGAGGCTCTGTCTCCGTACAATCTGGGGCTGCCACGACCGATTCCGTCACCAGAGACGTACAGTACCGAGAGAGCGCGGCTGAAACGCTTCGGGACTCCTTAATATGTCTGCACACGACCCTCACACACACCGAGAGCACCATATTGATCCTCGATCTTTCCCTCTCTCTCTTCAACACCACGTGCCACGCCTCCCTCTCTGTCTCCCCCACGTGCGCGAGCATGCGCGCGCATGTCATCTCGATCGATCGATGAGAATGTTCTGCTACGATCTGGCCGTTGTACGAGGCGTCGCTGCTTCTCTACCGGAGAAAGCCCTAAGGCAAAGTGATAGCGTCGCAGTCGACCTGCAAATAGCGCAACAGCAGCACTCGGAGTACACTAGAGTAAGGAGCTAAACAGGATGGGGAGGGGGGAGGTATATACGTCACAGTATGATTCCTCCCGGCTCAGGTTTTGAGCGAGGAGCTGGGTCTACAGGTCGTGTCACTGCCAGCCGATGATCTATTCCCGGACTGTGTCTTTGTAGAGGATGTTGCAGTGGTTGTGGATGGAGTAGCTCTGATAACCATCCCTGGTACGTACCCTCGGGCCCCACGTTCTTTTCATGGAAGAGTGTGGGTACATCTCTGGTTGCTAACTTTTGGTACATAATCGTTTTTCTTCCTAAAATACCGATCTGTTTCCCGATGGCACTGTTTGTATATACATCCATAATGCTTGATCTTGTTGCGCTAGCACCGTTACCTAAACTGCAGGTCATGAGTCACGACGTGGAGAAACGCTTACAGTGAAGGAAGCATTGGATAAGACTCCCGGGCTGTCGGTAGCGGAGATGACGGAGCCTGCACGTATGGATGGTGGAGATGTTCTGTTTACCGGACGAGAATTCTTTGTAGGACTCTCTGATAGAACCAATCAAGTGAGCAACCAATAGAGGTTTTGCACCGTTGCGAATTTTTACGGAAGTCGGCCATCTTGGAGGGGGAAATGTATACACACATTCTTCGCTACGTAATTTTCCCTCCAAACGTTGGCTGCCTTTGCTATGGAAACACGCCTTTTCCGTGCTAAACCTCTATCAAGTGAGCAGTCTCGTGTGGACATAGCTATTTTGCCACCATTTTCTCCCCATTGCAGGAAGGAGTGTCTCAGTTGGCAAAGACGTTTCCCAATTACAGTGTACTAGAAGTTAGAGTGAGCGAAGGACTGCATCTCAAGTCATTCATGTCCATGGTGGGCCCAGACAGAATCGGGATAGGGACATCTCCGGGAGCCAGACTGGCTCGAGAACAGATACAGAGTGGTGCAAAATACATGGAAAAGTATGAATTTGTCGAGTTTCCCTGACGACACGGCTGCAAACTGCCTCTACGTTGGAGGTCACTTGGTTCACGTGTCAAAAGAAATGTCACCTGGCTCGGCTAAGATATTTGAAGCCATTGAAACCCCAGGGAGAAAGATTCCTCTGAATGGGTCAGAGCTTGGTAAGGTGGACGGTTGTCTTACCTGCTCTTGCTTGTTGATAAAGGTGGACAAGAAATCTAGCTGATCGATACTTGAGCTAAACCATTAGTTACTGTATTTTAGAAAACTATTGAGAACAACATTGATAGCAATTAGCTAAACTGTGATATTTAGCTATAACTCACAACATAAAAGTAGTTATCAGTAGCTAATGAGATGTAACGCAGACACTGGCCTGCAGCTTTTAGCTATAAATTAAACGTTACATTGTCAGAGATGCGCGCAAGTTGATGGTGTGCATGCACATATAATACACTATGAACACAAGAAAAACTAGAGACAGAGTCTTAAGAGGTAGAGTTCAGTGTTCATTGTAACTCGTCGCAGAAGCATGCTTTGCCCATCTCAAAACCGAAGGTGTCATCATGTGGTGTAAAGTCTAGGATTGGGAACTGTTCCGGTTCACCTGACAGCATGTAATCTGTTCTTGACTTCAACTATAGCAGTAGAGTGTGTGGGGGAGAATGAGGGGGCGAGACAGACAGAACATTGAAAAAGAGAGAGTGAGACAGACAGAATGAGTGAAGCTCCAGTTCTGACCACCGATAATGATAATTAATCCCCTCCCCCTCCCTCCCCACTGAAAAGGACCCAAAGTGAGAGTAACCACTAACCTGTGTCCCCACTAAGACCACATTACCCCTGGTTCTGATGGACTATAAAGCTACTCACTGCTGTCATTTCATCGTCATAGACGACAAGTGGCTCTCCATCTGCTCCTACAAAGTCGACTTTTTCGGTGCCGCCGTAGTACCTGAACTCTTGGGTGGCTGAGCTGCTGAGTAGCTGCAGCAGAGCTATCTGGTCAATGTGCACTGGCCATGAGAGCTGGAAGAGATTGAGACAGTGTTTAACGAGCTCATAGAACGTTACGCAAGTTACGAACTAGTACACACATAACATGGAGGAACCTTCACAACAAAAACCTGGAAAGCCTGGTGCATGCTACAACCAAAATCTCGCCCTATCTTGCTGTCCTTATCCTCCTAATCTCACTGGGCTTGGGTGTAAAAGGCCTACAATATTGATTTTTTGTGAAGGACAACAGCACTCATTAACCCACAGATTGAAACTCATCCACGAGAATTGTCAGGAGTGTCATTCTCACCTCGTATCCCTTTGATAGTTCTGAGAATGGTTTATCCCCAGCATCGGCATGGAAGGTGGGCACCGAGCTGTCTTGGAGTGAGTGGTCAATGCAGGAGCAACCCGGCTTGCTGCAGTATACCTGGAGGGCATCCTGCTTGCCACCAATGTTAGGATCAATCCAGTAGTGACCTGCATGGTTACAAGATAGACTGCCTTGGCTGTAATCCTGTAGAATAGCAGCATGATTAGTTCATTCCCCAATTTTTTTTAACACGAGCCATGCAAGTTTTATTAAGGGCAGCAGAAGCAAGTTCATCAACTAATGCTTGCTGGGGGAAAAAGAACTATAAGCTACTTCCATAACTACACTCAAGAAAGCGTCATGTGACCTTCTTGGAAGTCTGGGTTGCAGAGGAAGAGGTCATAGCAGGTGCGTGCCGGGGCTGCCTGGCTCCCGTTGGGATTCAGGGCTTCGTAGATGGTGTTTCGGATCTTCTCCACCTCGTTGTAGAAGGTCATTACTCCCTCCTGGAACAGTTTATCGCCGGGCATCTTGTCACCGATGTAGAAATCGCCTCCCTTCAGAGTTCCAGGAGGATACGAAGACTATGGGATTGTGGGGAGAATGGAGATGACATTTTTCAAGTGAATGTTAATAATGGACTCACTTGTGATCCAAGGTTGACTGTGGTCTGGATTGTGGGAGGAGGAAGAGAGATGAGAAATTGCCGGTGAAATACAGGGGTAGGTGTGTAAAGAGGGAGTGAGGACTTACCGATTGTCCGGGTTCTCCATTCTCTCCCTTTTGTCCATGGTTTCCAGGCACTCCCTGGTCTCCCTTCTCTCCCTGTGTTAGTCAGTGCAGAGTGTTAACATACAGTGTCTAAGGCAATTAGCACAAACTGCGAAGATGGTTCTGGTGTGGGGGCAACTTTGTGTGCGTGTGATAAAAGGAGGGAAATAAGTGTGGGGAACAAGATGTAGTGGCCATAAATGTGGGTGTGTGTGTGTGTGTGTGTGTACCGTGGTCCCTGGAGTCCTTGAGGTCCGAGTGGGCCAGGGTCGCCATCTCGTCGGAGGACACCACTGTTTCCCTGGTCAGTCGAAGAGAAGGTCATGTAGCTAACTCACTCACAATCTAAGACAGTGGTGCTTACCCTGGATCCTTTGGGTCCCGCTCTTCCCGGAAGACCCACTTGTCCGGCTGCACCAGGTGGCCCAGTGTCACCCCTGTCTCCCTGATCTCCCTGTCACCCACGTCGACCTTGCTCTCCCTTCTCGCCAGGTCACACCCGAGGACCGTCATCTCCGGGTGCCCCCTGCAATTACCATATTGTTAAAACGTGGTTATTTTGAGAGGATATATAACTTACACTTGGTCCTGCCTCTCCAGTTGCTCCATCGCTACCTGGTCTGCCAGTCTCACCCTATAATCATTAAAAAGACTCTACCTCACTCACGTAAAGAGTGCTCTTCTGTGGAATATAATTACACACAAGAAGCTGATATTTTGTCTACAAGTGTTGTAATATAGCACTCTCCCAAGAAGTGCGACTTACAGTGGCTCCAGGAACACCAGGAGGTCCAGGAAGACCAGATGGGCAACCTCTCCCTGTGGAAACACCCCATACCTCACTGTGAGAGAACTAGTCATTATGGAGACTCACCCGTGATCCAGGTGGTCCAGCTGGACCTCTGATGCCAAGTGGGCCTTGTGTTCCCTACGGTAAAGAGCATCATACAATATAAACGGCTCTAAAAGAGTCTATTTTACTACTCTCCGTAGCAATTTAAAGGGCATATTATACCTTTTGTCCACGTGAGCCTTTGGGCCCAACTTCGCCAGTTGGTCCTGGGGGTTCCTGCATACAGAATTATCAGTTTTTGCCACTGTGGCGAGAGAGAGAGAGAGAGAGAGAGAGAGAGAGGTGTTGGGGAAGACGAACATGCATACAAGGGGGCCAGGGGTCTCCGTGTGGTCCAGTTGGCGCGTGTGGTCACGTGGCCCTGCTCTCTCCCGTTGACCTGGTACACCGTCACTCTCCATCCTCTACACGTCTTGTGTCCTGAAGAGAGTTGTACCATCAGGATAGATGCATACGACGTTTTAAGAAAACACTAACTGGCATCAGTCAGTACTCAGCGGCAGCTAAACTGCTAAAGCACAAATAGCTGGGCACAGTTAAGAAGCTCTCAAGTACAGGTAAGACAACGATTACAGTAGTATTATCAAGGTTGGATTCCAACGTACTGAGGTCCAGTAGGGTTTGTTTTTCCTGTGGGCCCTGAGACCAGGAGCACCAACCGGTCCTGTGCAGAGCAACATTATCGGAAACCCACCCTTGGACAAAGATATTACTGCCACGGGGATAGTTTTTATCCACGTACAGAGATCCGGCTCTCAGGAAGTCCGACTGGCATCCCGTATCTCCATTTGCTCCCTGAGAGTACTTGCTCTGGACACACCAGCTCGGAGAGTGGGAACTAACTGGTTGTCCATGTGGTACCATTTTGGCCGACTTCTCGCGAACGCCGTTGTCTCCCTTTGCACCCGGAGTCCCCTGGAAGACGACCTGTCCAGGGTGACCAATGTCTCCTTGTCTCCCTCAGTCCGGGAGTGGCGCTAAGGACCTGGTGGGCCAGCTGTCCTGCAGAAGGAGCCAGTTTCGTATGAAGTGGTGTGTGTGTGTCTGGACAGGTGAATATTATAGTGCGGGGCCTACCATATCCAGAGGTTCACGGTTGGGCCTGCACTCCGCTCACACCAGGAGTCCCCTGAGAATGAGAGCGAAATGAGCCAGCATTCTCTGTGTTTATCACAACTCCTCAGTGTGTGCGCCTCTCCCCTGTCTCTCCTCTCCCTCCTGCTCCTCAACGATGCCCATATTGATGAGGCCAGTCATAGTATAAGCATCACACTAGCTGTTTCCACATTACGACTACTCTATCACCAGGTCTTCGCATCATTGTCCAGCAGCACCCTTGTACCCCACCCGCTCACCTGCATCGAGGTTAATGGGACATTTCTCAACCGTAGAACTTCCACTTGTTTAGTAGAGATTCATAATGCTATGGACGGTGCACATACTAGAGACATTAAAGTAGGTATACTGATTCTCAACAGCAGTTATGACTGTGAGTTTTGAGTGTGTACTCCACCTTTGAGCACGGTCACCCTTGGTTCCACTAAATCCTCGCGTCTCACTGCTCTCTTCGCTGTGGTCCGTCTGGGGTCTCCGGGAGACCCAGTGGTCCGCGTGGGCCAGGTGCACCTACGTCCATGTGATGAGAGTCAGCGTGACTCAAGTATGTAATATGTCACTAACAAGTTTCTCCTCTCGGGGCCTCAGCTCCTGTAGTCCAGGATCACCATCTGTGCCCTGTGTGTGACCGTATAAAAACTGGCAAACGTGCCTCCTTTGCGCACAAGCCGATGGAGCAACTTACGTCTTCCTACTAGGGTCACAGCACATGGCAATGTGCTATAATAGTATCTATGCACATACTCATGTGAAAGGAGGTTCATCATATCACCTTTGTCCATCTGGGCCTTGATCACCTGGCTCTCTGGTGCTCAGGGGGACCGGTCATTTATGAAAACATGATTCACCTTTTATCTGCTGTTCTGTGTGGTGTGTGTGGCTTAATGTCGCTCCAGGCTGTCCATCATCACCAGGAGCTCCTCTCGTCTCCTCCCTCTCTCTCTCTCTCTCTCTCTCTCGCGAGCAGACCAGGCGTCCTGGCTGCCTGCTGTCCTGGGTTCCCTGTGTTGGTAATTAACTAAACCTCACTGCACCACTAACCTACACACTCGGGGGAATAAACCCTCAAACAACACCACACACACTGAACACACTGGTGTACTGAATTACCACACCCAACACCCACTCAGTTAGACCTCCCTCATGACGCTCAGGCGGTCCTGTTGTCGGGAAGCCGGCAGTTCGGGGATGCCCAGGGTTTCCGTGTGTGCCTGGTTTCTTCTCTCCTGGCGAACCTGTGGCCGACCTCCCCGCAGACCCACTCGCGTCAGGTCACCCTGTCTCCTCTCTCTCCCTGAGGGGCACAAACGTGAGGACGGTGTTCCTGGTGCACCAGTCTGTCCGGCTCTCCATCTCGGCCGTCTGCTCCTGGTGTACCGACTTCAGGGCTCCCTAACATGAGAGAAGCGTGTGATGTCTACGTATACTCTCACAAGAACTAACGAACTCCTATAATAGCATAACGAAAGTTGGCTACGTGATAACTCATACAACGAAGTGATAGCTCATAGAAAGGTAGCGTGTGGTATAAGTGATGCCCCAATATAAGTTATGTCCCCCACACTCACAGGCACTCCAGTGTCTCCTGAGTCTCTGATGCTCCTCTGGGTCCAGATGTCCTGCAGTCATCAGGACACAGCCCATATCTTGCTGATCATATTGAGCATGCTACAGTGTAACCCACATTCAAACTGACTTAAAATCCCGCTATTTCAAATCACTCCCTGCCCTATGACATGTTTTGATCTCTACTCAAAGACCCTGCTGTTCCCCGTTAGCACACAAATTACGTGGGTTACACTGGTTGAACTGGTTAAAGGTCTACCTTTCTCTCGTGGTCCTGGTTGCTCCAGGGACTCCAGTCTTTTTTCCCTCTCCGGGTCCCCGCTCCCTGAATGGAAGGCAAACGCTAGTGATGAGGCGGAGTGGCAGTTCAAAGTGATGTGTGTTGTCTCACAGTCATCTCCAGGTGCACCAGTAAAGCCAGGGGCTCCGTCTGCTCCTGGTGGGCCTGAGTGGGAGGGGCATCACATGGCATCACATAAAGTTAACAACGTATACTGAGTGGAGGATAATTATGGGTATGTTGATATAGTTGAGGTCTTACAGCTTCTCCGGATTGGTCCGGAGTCCCTTGAGCTGGTTCTCCAGTGCAATCCTACTACAGTTAGCACAGAGTGATTTCTATGCATTCATAGACAGAATGCTTCCGGGGTCGCCAGACGGTCCACTTGATCCTCGGGTGCCAAGAGATCCCTGGAATACAACCCAAATTGGGAATAGTGTGAGTGTGTTGTGTTGTTGCTTCCGTACATGTCTTCCTGGTTGCATCATGGCAAGACCACGCGTTCTTGTGGCCCGGGTCCAGTTTGTCCAGGTCCCAGTTGAATCCCATGAGCGGGCCCCTCTTGCTTTGGTCCGTTAGACCCCGTGACCGGGCGGCCAACGCTCCTTGGGTCCTGGCGGACGGGGTAGCCAGCGAATCCTGAAGGGCCTTGCGGACCTTCTGGAGTGTATAGACAAGCAGCAGTGGATAGCAAGCAGTGTGTTACCGTTATTAGTTTGTGCTTTTTCATAGATGGGAATAGGGCTCGCATAAGGATGTATCTCGCATAATATACGTAACTCATTCAATGATGAAAGTATGAACGTGGTCGACCTTCCACATATATACTAATAATAGTACAGATGAGTTGTATATAATCTACCCTCTCATGTTGTCCCTGAAGCTCCACAGGACCTGGTTTCCAGTTGGGCCTGTTGTAGCAGCCAGTGGTCTAATAATTGACATAAGAGTATCATGACAGAACCTACCGGCACGCCATTACTGCCATCCTGCCATAAATCAAGGTGGGCCGGTACGCCCGAATGTATGCAGCAAAGGTTGCATAAGAGTGCAGCAAAGGTTAGCTCATCACAATGGACCAGGTTCTCCGCGGGGAGGACCTCGAGCTCCAGCACCCATCGTGACCCTGACAGATCATAGGCAGAGAGAAAGGTAGTTTAGTATTGCTGAATGCCAACAGCTCACTCTCTCTTTTGGCCCGGTTGTAAAGGTGGGCCGACGTCTCCTATATATTAGAGATTGAAACGGCACGTCAGTATATAGTAAGTGCCCACAGTTAGTCCTTGGAGCCAGTGTTTTCCAGGTGGGGCATGGGGTCCATGGAACCCTACGGAGGGGGGTGGTAAAGATGTACAAGAAACAGGAGAAGTACTCCAATGCGACCTCCCTTTTCTCCAGAAGAACCCTCAGGTCCCGGGTGGCCTACAGAACTACAGTTCAAAGGTCTTCTGAATGAATCCTACAGGTACCGCTTGCTCTTGCGCGTCAAAAATATGCTGCACTCATTGTGAGAGGGGACAGTAGTGAAGCAAGTACTAAACGGGTGTCACTCGGATCCAGAGCGGCCAACATATCCGTTCTGACCAGGTGTGCGTCGAACACCTGGTGGTCCTGGGAGCCAGGGTGTCCATCTTCGGATACAGCCGGCAAATGCATAAGGGTGAGTAGGGTAGAGAGAAGGGATAGATAGAGAGAGAGAGAGAGAAGAGAGTTAAGGCATCACAGGCTGTCCAGTTGGTCCCGTTGTCCAGGCAGGCCCGGTTTCCCTGATGGCCCTTGGAACAAACGTTTTGACGAGCAATTCACAATACAACCTGGTAGGAAGATCATAATTACATACTCTTGCTCCCTTGGCTCCAGGCTCGCCTGTTTTCCCGATGGACCTATTAGAATGGGGGTCTTAAGATCAGCAGAGAAAGAGAACAAATAATAATGTGGCTCACCCAGTGGTCAAGGGGGTCCATTCACCAGATGGTCCTGCATGGAGCCAGGTGGTCCCTGGAAGAAATAAACAGGCATGCGTTTACTATCGGAAGAATAATTAAACTAACAGGTATCACTTGAAGCACCAGGGTGGGCCTTGTCTCAGGGTTCACCCTAAAAGAGTGCGAAAAGGTTTCAAACAGAATCTTCTTTCCCACCCTAATAGCTAGCAATCAAGGATCACCATCTCTAAGTTCTGTGCCGGCTGCCGGAAGCTCCTGGGGCTCCCTATGATGAGAAAAAGATCTCAATGAATGACTTGGTAGATAAGAACCTAAGTGGTCCTTTGGGTCCCTGGGGTCCTGCTGGTCCAGTT